GATATGACAGCTGGAGTATCGCGTTTTCAAACGACATCAAGGCAGTTCTGTGTCGGAAAACGCGCATTTAAAGTCGGCTTACGTCTCATTCACGTCGACATGGGAAACCCGTAGGTCGGAATTTTATGGAAACGTGCATTGCCTGTCGCCCGGAGAGAATCCGTCTGTCGACTCTCTCGGAATTTCATTCCGATTTCTCAAGTATACCACGGCGAGTATCGAGAGAGAATGTTTTCACTATTTCCCGATAGCGTTTATACGGATTGCCCTTTCGTTTCCTTCTCCCCTTTTTTTTCAGAGGGAAAAAGAAAAGTACAGTCACGCGGCATCTGGCGCGGCGTCCGTCGGTTTAACGTTGAAACTCGCTAAAATATTCTAAAATATTCCCCGAGCGGGAACTTCGACATTTTCGCAGAAAGGAGGATATGTAATGAGCTGGGCATCTGGTCTCTAACGACGTTACAGAATTCGCGTACATTCGCGGAAAAATATACATATATATTCGGAATACGAATCGATTGGCGCGCGATGCAGGAATATATAATCTTGAACTTTTCTAACGAAGAGAATCAAGTTAACATAAACGTGCAAGATGCGAGAGAGCGCGTCATAATTCTGCCAGGAAAGAATTCCAACTTGCAACGTAGCATATTGGATCTATTCGCAATCAGCTTTTTACGCCCAGCACTGAAAAGTGACAAGAACGATACGGAAATAGCTCGGAACGAAACTCGAATATAGACGCGTTCGTTGTTTACGCAGATTGTCGGTTGATTCCGCGCGTTGCGAGCGGAAGGGGTTGAACGCTAAATAAGACAAAGAGCATACGCCATCGTGGAGCGTGCGCTGTTGCAGGCTGTAAACTAGGGCAATTTGCTGGACCGACGGCTATAGTATTAAAGTACGTATAGCGAGGGCCGCAGAAAAAGCAAACAGCCTGCGATTCCCGTGTGCGAAAATATCATATCGACCTATCATTCGTATCTCCAGTGTGTGCGGCGCATCGCGTTTGATTTCCGCTTTCAATATAGCGCGCGAAGGTATTCGGAACGAATATATTTGCACAATTACGCGGGATCGCTATATCTTCGTAAGGGACGAAACATCTGTTTGCTATTCCGATAGCAAACTCGACATATCGAAAACACCGGCTTTAAAAACAGTATTTGCAAGCAGTTATTAAAGCTGGACGTAATTGCGAGATGAGCTGACTGATCTCGCACGTATTCTTTCTCTTTTTTTTATACATACACCTGTTTTATTTTCCCATTTTACGGGAATTCTATTTATGTCATACTTTGCGAATTTTGTTTCAGACCTCTGTTCAATAAACTTCTGTCCTATTAAAAAAATGAATAATTTATTGAGCTTCCTATAGATACATTTTAAAAATAAATGCATTTTCAAGCTAATACAATAGAAATAAACAATATAATTTGGAATATATAATTAGATTTTGTTTGAATATACTTTTAATGAATCAAATATCATTTAAAATGTTGATTTGTAACACCGATATTTTAATTAAAGTAGACTCTAATTGCGCGAGGCACAACTTACTTGTAACCGAGAGAACAAGAGAAGAAGAAATTGATTTTACTGTAATAATTTTATTAAAACGAAAGTACTGTGAAGATAATGAAAGCGGTTGGAAATGCGAATCGCTTCATTGCCTTATATCTTGAGGGGCTCTGCTCAATGCGTGAAAAGTGTGAGTAGAACCGTGAAATATTTCCGTCGTAAGTAAATTACAATCCCGAACTCCCTGCTCACTCTGTGCCCAGTGGAGCTGTAAAATCCAGAAATCAAACGAAGAGAAATAAACCTGCCGTGAAGTTCTCATAAACATGCCGTTTTCCCGAGGACGTTTCGAGGTATTCGCGTCCGTTTATAGCAATCGCGGGTTTTACCGTCAGCGTGTATCGATTTGTTTCTGACGATTCTTGAAACGCAATTTCGATTTGTGTCAAAGCGGACATCTGTTCTTTTACCCGACATTTCCACTTTAGAAGCGTAATTTATTAAAAACTGGAGAAAAACGTTGCGCGCGAGAGAATTCAGGGGATTATATGTTTATAAATGCAAAAACCCCAAGGGAATTATAATGCGGAGAAAGAATTTTATTTTACAAATATATTTCTTTTTAATGAAAAATACACATCTGCAAGAAGACTTAATCCAAACACATCGAGAAATCTACAATTTTAGACAAGATAATAGCAGTAGCGTATAATTTTTTTTTTCTAATATACTTTTTATAGTAGCCAGATATGACAGCTGGAGTATCGCGTTTTCAAACGACATCAAGGCAGTTCTGTGTCGGAAAACGCGCATTTAAAGTCGGCTTACGTCTCATTCACGTCGACATGGGAAACCCGTAGGTCGGAATTTTATGGAAACGTGCATTGCCTGTCGCCCGGAGAGAATCCGTCTGTCGACTCTCTCGGAATTTCATTCCGATTTCTCAAGTATACCACGGTGAGTATCGAGAGAGAATGTTTTCACTATTTCCCGATAGCGTTTATACGGATTGCCCTTTCGTTTCCTTCTCCCCTTTTTTTTCAGAGGGAAAAAGAAAAGTACAGTCACGCGGCATCTGGCGCGGCGTCCGTCGGTTTAACGTTGAAACTCGCTAAAATATTCTAAAATATTCCCCGAGCGGGAACTTCGACATTTTCGCAGAAAGGAGGATATGTAATGAGCTGGGCATCTGGTCTCTAACGACGTTACGGAGAATTCGCGTACATTTGCGGAAAAATATACATATATATTCGGAATACGAATCGATTGGCGCGCGATGCAGGAATATATAATCTTGAACTTTTCTAACGAAGAGAATCAAGTTAACATAAACGTGCAAGATGCGAGAGAGCGCGTCATAATTCTGCCAGGAAAGAATTCCAACTTGCAACGTAGCATATTGGATCTATTCGCAATCAGCTTTTTACGCCCAGCACTGAAAAGTGACAAGAACGATACGGAAATAGCTCGGAACGAAACTCGAATATAGACGCGTTCGTTGTTTACGCAGATTGTCGGTTGATTCCGCGCGTTGCGAGCGGAAGGGGTTGAACGCTAAATAAGACAAAGAGCATACGCCATCGTGGAGCGTGCGCTGTTGCAGGCTGTAAACTAGGGCAATTTGCTGGACCGATGGCTATAGTATTAAAGTACGTATAGCGAGGGCCGCAGAAAAAGCAAACAGCCTGCGATTCCCGTGTGCGAAAATATCATATCGACCTATCATTCGTATCTCCAGTGTGTGCGGCGCATCGCGTTTGATTTCCGCTTTCAATATAGCGCGCGAAGGTATTCGGAACGAATATATTTGCACAATTACGCGGGATCGCTATATCTTCGTAAGGGACGAAACATCTGTTTGCTATTCCGATAGCAAACTCGACATATCGAAAACACCGGCTTTAAAAACAGTATTTGCAAGCAGTTATTAAAGCTGAACGTAATTGCGAGATGAGCTGACTGATCTCGCACGTATTCTTTCTCTTTTTTTTATACATACACCTGTTTTATTTTCCCATTTTACGGGAATTCTATTTATGTCATACTTTGCGAATTTTGTTTCAGACCTCTGTTCAATAAACTTCTGTCCTATTAAAAAAATGAATAATTTATTGAGCTTCCTATAGATATATTTTAAAAATAAATGCATTTTCAAGCTAATACAATAGAAATAAACAATATAATTTGCAATATAGAATTAGATTTGGTTTGCATATACTTTTCGATATTTTTTCACATACATCTTTTGTTGCCGCGGTATAAGAAAATGATATTTGATGCTTCCATAAAAGAATCAACTTTTGTGCTAAAATTAAAACTTATGTTATTTGATTTCATATTTTAATTTCTTAATAAAAATAATTCTGTCCTCTTTTTGAAAGAGAAAAGAACGAGATTGTATCATTCTTCATTGAATAGAACTGTGGGCGTACAGAAATATATCATCATCACATGACGCTGGAATTAGTCACGCATGTCTTAGCGTGTTGTAATTTATTTTTTACGAAGCACAAGTGATGAAGATAAAACACGTCTGAAAACATTATCAGTGCATGCGATGTCGAAATAACTTATATTACAAAGAAGATTTATACTTCAAAATTTTGAAGATGACGTAAAGGTAAAAGATATTACTTTCGAGAAATATTCCTTGATATTTCAAATCTGATCCGCGCTTGTCATTCAACGTTTTCCATTTGAATGGTCGTTTCATCGCTACAACATGAAAACCAACCATATTAGAAACAGCGCACATATTCCTTTCTTTAAGAATCATTCACGCATGGCATGTGCATGATAGGAAACGGAAATTAAATGAAAATCGTTCGAACCAGTCTGTATAACGGAAATGAAAATCTGAAAAATCTGGTGTGAATGGAAAAAAGACGAACGGCATTGAAATGAATACAGAGAAATGGCACGGGAAGAATCAAGTGGAACTAAAAGCGAGAAATGCTATTAATATTTCAATACATGGGCGCGCCCAGAGAAATAGTTTCCCAGTCTAAAATTATTCACTTCTGCATTTTAATTGATTACGAAGCATTCAGATTCCATGAATAATGCCGTTCTTCGCATTTATGCAACACAGACAGAACAAGAATTTTATTCTTTTGTCATAATATATTATAGCATATATGATATTGATAATTACGTTTGTAAGTCATATTCATTATTCATATTGTCTCTCTCAAACCTTACGGTAATAACATACAATGTAAATTATTTCTAACTTTTATAATATATATTCTATACTTTTATAATATTAATATATCAGCAATACGCGTATTTAAACAATAGAAATAGAAAACGAGTACTAAAATTTCTTTTATTGCAATTATTTTTTATTATCATAAAGAAATAAATTGTATACGCATCATGATCATTTTTAATCGAAGATTAGCATGTAAACAGTGTGACAATCAAAAAGTTTAAAATACAGGAACTACAATATGTATAGATATATGAGATATACTTACGGTTCCAGCTCCAGGATCGGTAATTTTACATGGTAAAACTGCCGTGCTACCACTTTGAGCCAGCACCTCTCCAATTGGGCCTTCAAGAACATCTTCATTTTTACTCTCCGGGACATTCAATGGGGCGATTGCATTATTGGCACTTGAGTTCTGCTGATGCTTGGCCTGGCTTACTGAGAACATAAATTATAACAATGCTAAGGATAGAAACCATTTTATTTGATTTAAAGCGAAGTCTGTGTACGACGCGTCGTGTCAACAAATTAATACCAATAACAATTTTTCCCGCAACGCTGCAAATCAAAAAAGTTTTCTTAGAACTATTATTAATTAGAATATTCTAAAAATCGATTGTTGTTTATAAATTCAAAAATTTGTATAAATAATTATAAAATTAAAGAAATATAATTGTTTAATATAACATCACACGTTTTCAATATATACAAAGTGTACCGTAAAGACCGGATCAACGCTTAAGGATAGATTCCTGAAATCATTTTAAGATAATTTTTCCTCAGCAAAAATATCGAGGCATCAATAATTTCCGTGTTATAAGAGATTCAAAAAGAAGAGCTTTTTGCAAACTAAACTTTATAGAAAGTTAAAACCATATTCTTTAGTTAATTTCAGATAGAGCTTACTTTAATAGAGAGAGAAAATTTTAATTTAAGGTTTAGTTACAAAGATATATGATGGAAAAAATTGGAAACTTGCAAAAAATGATGACCTCTCTCGATATTTTCGCTGAGGAAAAATCGTTTTAAAATTATCTCAGGAATCTACCTTTAAACGTTGATACGGTCTTACGGTACATCCTGTATATTCATTATGCGTTTATTCCTCTATAAATGCAGTATGCTATATATATTGTTATATATAATTATGATTTCGTGGAAATATTTTTCTGCAAAAAATATTATTGAAATAGAATAATGCGTATTTTACAAATAACACACGTTGTATAAAAACTATTTATTTAATCCATTTTTTGTACTCATAATATTCAGATTTTATCACAGTTTGAAATGCGGAATTAAATCGATTCTATCTTTCAAAGGATTTAACTAAATAAAAATTGCGTTAAAAAACGCTATAGAAATATGTAGGGACATATTTTCTCACAACCTAGAAAATTCTATACCACATTTATTATAAATATTTCTCCAAAAGTTGTTGGTGGTTCTAAGGCCGGCTATAATCAAAGATTAAGGACGATTTCTCTATGGCTACTCGGTCGGCGAAGGGTGCGGCGAAGAACGACGAAGCATCGTCCTCCCGGCCTGAGATTAATGTAGCCGCTATCGCGACGATAACGTATAACCCGAGCGTCGCCCGAGAGTAGCTTAAGTGAATAACTTAGTCACGGCAATTACGACGGTTCGGCCGGGCGTTTACCGGCGCCCGTGGTGCGCCAAACCTGGCGAATTCCGGCAAATATTCAGCCGGAAATTCTCCCCCTTGTGCCCTCTCGCCTCTCATTTGCCCTCACTCGAGAACTCTAATCATTCGCTCGTCCCTGCGCGCATCGCCGAACTTTTGCTGGAAAAAATTTCTCTCGCAAGCATCTCGTTTCGATTTTTATTTGAATTGAAAGCCCGAATTCAAAATTTAATTTCTAGCGAAATACGTAGTAGATGTGTGCATTATTAAGGGTTCGCTTTTAAAACATAGTGAATATGTTTACGATAATATTCGCTGCTTATGTTAAGTTATTTTTACACGAGTAAGTAATTTTTGCTCAGATTTTATTTCGGACTTTGCTATATCAGGAAAATAATTCGAGAATGATGACTAATTATAAACACATGCATTTATAACTGTATTCAATATTTTGAATCTCAAAAGTCAGAGTTGTCATTTTTAATGTGTCTGAATAATATCTTACTTCTTCGTATTTATCTGCGTTTTCGGATATAAAAGAAAATGTATAATTTCTGTGACCTGATTCCGTGCACTAATTGATTATAATGCAAATTAATCTGTTAAAAATTATAGATTTTTATGTTTCTGTGTGTGATACGTATATGTATATCTGATGGATAATATATATATATGTATATTATACAAATACACATATATTACACAAGATATTTCTATGTTCTATGTTTTTTCTGCTTTTTAATAGCATAAAATTAATAAATATAAAAGTTAAAAATTAATAATGCATTGGAAATTGCTATAAAAATATTTTAAAAGAGATTTTTTGTGTGGTGCTGAAATATTAGTGAACTTTTGCGTTCGTATATTTATTCTTTCGTTTAATTAAAATATGTATGATTTATTCAACATTCAGTGAAAACCCGGTTTTGTTATTTTGATGAGATATCCTTTTCCATGAAATATCTAGAATTATCCACATATATAAGTACGAAAGTATTCCATTGCAATGTGATACAAATCTCTGAATATAAATCTCTGAATATAAGCTTTGAATATTTGAAATGGCTATGGTGCGTGCGGGAGGTACGCTTTCGAAAATTATGCACGACAAAATATCGTAATAAGAAATGATTATGATTTATTACATGCATATAAATGCGTTAAATCTGAGACGCTTGTCTTCAACTTAAGCAAGGAAAAAGTAAAACCACCCGAACTGATGCAATTTTCTAAATTGAATTTACCAGTGATTAGTACTCGCACGTAGCAGGAGATTAATCTGGCACAATTTCAGAAAGTTTGCCGAATTGAGAATCGTAAAACGGCCTGGTAATAGGGGCCGGTGTGCATTTAATTAAACTTTCAATTAGATCTAAAGCTTCGGAGGTGTTACGGCGACGACCTAAATTTCCAGTACCTCATCGTTCGGGAACAAGACATTATACGAATTCGTCCGTTGATAATATTAACGTCGACGACTTTCTCCGTCGACGTCCCTCAAGGAAGAGAATCGTCGTGGTAGATAAGAACACTTGACGACCCGATGGGTGATCGACTCGATTTCAACTCGCCTGTCGAAAAGTTCGACGTTAACGAGGCGAGAGCATCGTCGCGGTTTTTCAGCAACGCGATAACCGGAAATTACATGTCAGCCATCGAATTAAGTGTTTTCCATGCCGGCACGAAAATAACTCGCGTAAGTACGGAAGAACGTGGCGTGCCGCAAGTAAACGCGCGGGAAATGCCTGTGTTTCTTCAGGCGGCTGCATCATTATCGTTGCAAATTGTATGCCGTCGTGAAGCGAATGCCGATGAGAAGCGCGGTGCGGCGTAGGAAAATTAGGGACAAAATTATTTAGGCTAAGAGAGTCGCTACTTAAACACGCGATTTGCGAGACGAGGATGCACAAAGTGGAGAAATACGAATGAACGTGCCGTTTCCTGCCGCAATTTCTAACTCTAATCTTGTAAAGCTTCTAAAATACCGCCGAAGAGAATGAATTTTAGCACGTAAAATTGGAAACAGCTAAAGAATTTCGAATGAAAGAGCAGTATTAATTATTACTAAATAATTATAAATATACAATTTACAAATGTAAAATGATGAATAAAAAGAGATCAAAATTTTATTCTCTATAGATAATTAAAAAGATTATTTAATATTTTTGTAAAATCTTTTTTTAAGAAATTCAGGTTAATGTATTTTAATCAAATTTTTATTAGAAACAAAAAATAAGAATTTATTTGAATTTTATTCGGCTAATTGATAGTACAAAATGTCGAAGAATGTACGATATATAAACAATGTGCATAAATATTATAATAAAATTGTCCAAACTCACCTGTAAAATACAAGTGTATCTCGAATAGAATGCCCACCACGATCCAGAGTATCCTCATGATGAATAGTACTCGAGCCCTTTCTTTAGATATACATCTCTTTAGAAATATCTGAAACATAAAATATGAAAGTTTAACATTCACTTTTCTTCACAATCATAATTAATTTGATATATAATTTTTTAACTAATTTTTTCGTATGTTTTGATATACGACTTTAAATAAAAGTTTTATATTTTCTTTTTTTCTATCTCTTTCCTTCTATTTCTCTCTTTCTCTTTATTTTAATAAAATATTGTATATTCTCTTTTTTCTTGACACACTTTTTTTTCTTGGCACTTGTACCTACAATCTTCGAGGCCATATGCGTTCGCGAAAGAAATTAAGACTGAAATTCAAGCGGAAAGCGAGAGTAACTGTAGCGTGTTCCAAAACTACGCGCAAGGTGCCCCTAACGCGATATTAACTAGTTTCGTCGAATAAAAAGTGCTAGATTTTTTGCGAGATACGTGCAACGTTTTCTTAACACTCCTTGGCACACTGATATTGCGTTTTTATTAAATTATATAAGATTGATATATATATATATATATATCGATCTTATTGTTAATATTAAAGAAAAAAAGATTTCTTAGCTATTCAAGAATTAAAAGAATAAAAAATTAAAAGTTCTAAAACTTTAAAAATCCAAGGATGATACATATAAAGGTAGAATAATACAGATAGAAACATAATAGCCTCATTAAAAAGTACGTTAATAGCTGAAGTTTTGTAAGATATATAACTAAAAAGTGCTTTTTTGTTAGAAAAAAATACAAAAGTATGTGTAATAAATGAACTGTGAAACGTCGTTAGAGCTAAGTGTCCAAGGGTTAAAACGAACCAAATAAAAATAAAAATAAAAAAAGTTAATGGAAGGAATTTGCACGATGGAAAGTATATGTACTGGAAAAAACTGAAAGCATTGAGAGAACATTGAGCGTTGCCACTGGGAATCAATGGCAAAACAGATATAAAACGGAAAGGTTCTCCAAGATGGAAATTTGCGATCACGCGGGAGATACACCGGTAAGGTTCACCGGGGAAAACATCGAAAGTATTCGATGAATTCCCGAGACGAAACAATGGTCGGACGAGCGTGATAGTATTTCGTCGAGATATCGCTGGATCCTGTCAGTCAATAAATATTCGGCCAGAATATTATTCGTATCGCGATTCGCGCGGCGATCTCCTGAGATTGCCGAAGTAGAATTGTTCTGAAGTGGCTTTCGCACACTCGCATAATTGCTGTGCGGAGATCGTTGTACATAAGCGCGAAAAAACACAGAATTATTTGTTGAAAAGATAAATATAACATCGGCTACATATCTCAAATACCGAAATAAAAATTAAAAATTGCCATTTAAATTTTCAACTGCTAGTCATTCTGACTGTTATTAACTCTTGTTAAAACAAACGTTTTGTAACATGGCTCTCTCTTTTTCTCTTTCTATAAGAGATACTTTAATATGATAAATAGAACATGCAAGGTCTTGAAAACATTTTGAAATTTGAAAAGTCAATTAATATTTTATCAAATAAAAACTTTAAAATGGGGAAAGTGGAGCAGTACTTTGAAGAATAATTATCTCACAGCATAAGAAGCAAAATAATGTTTTAAAAAATCACAATTTCAAAAAAAAACAATCAGAGCAAGATTTTCAAATATAAAATAATTTTGAAATATTTGAAAGTAGATAAAATCTCTCTTAAAAAAACTCGTGATCAGGTAAGCAAGTTAATTTTTAAATCTTAAAAGCATTCCAAAATTGCACACAATATATTATATAAAATTATATATTTACATGTAAATTTCTTATTCTCCTGTGTTTCTACTGAAATTATTTAAATTATTTATTTTATACAAGGTAATAAATAAATAGAAATTGATGTGTACGTAATATAAAACGCATATTTTTACAACATTTAGTATTGAAAATTCTTCAATTGTCTAAACAAGAATAATAAATTAGAAAACCCATATACATTTCTTCTTAAACTTTTAATCTTTATATATATTATTTTTTGTTATTTGGAACAATCTATTATTTTTTACGCAAAACACATACATCTGTATTTTTTTTTTTTAAATTTATAACGTGTTATAGATCTGAATAAAAAGATTATTAAATAATAATAGATTAATATAAATACAGTATTACATTCCGCGGCCGAGACACTCTATTATTATATAATATAAAAAGCTTTTCTCTTATTCCAAGCAATGGAAAATTTTGATAATTTTAGGCACGCAATGCTAAATCTATATCAGATTTGCAGCAAGAACGAGACTCACAAGTTCTCTAATTCACGAGCGGTATTCGATATTCGCGTTTTTCTTCCACCACTACAGACTCGCAGTACGTTACACTTCTCGCAGATTGTGATTCGACCATTCGTAAACCAGCCACGAACGCCATATGTTCCCAGTCGACATATATGTTAGAATTTTCAAAGCAAGCTCTCGCGCAACGTCTTTCCTGATAGACAAGCAAAAAATATATTTAAAATTTTTTTCCATTTAGCTGAATTTTCTGTAAAATATGTGTGTTATTTTTAAAACCAACTTTATACGACAATTGTGTGTTGCTTTTTGATTTAATTTATAAATAATATAATAATGATATAATAATATTAGTAGAAAAATAACTTTCTATGTCATGTTACTTAATAAATATTATGTTTTAAATATATTTTTATTGCAAATAAAGTATTTGTCTTATATATATATAAAAGCTACATTAATTATCTCTCTCTTTCATGTAAAAATAAATATTCTTACATACATAATTATTTAGCACAGAACTCGAGGAAAGTATCTGCGAAACATGAAGACAAATGTTTTCCTCATCTCATGCATAAAACTGACATCTAGTTTCAATGTTTAGAGAGGCCATGTTTTACTGTCGTATGCATGTTTCGCTTACGGCGCGCTACTTGCAGACAAATGGCTGTGTTATTTCCTGTCATACTAGGAAGTTCATTATTCGGACAGGTTAACGAGCAGGAGTGTATTTGTCCCCCAAAGCTATAATCGATAAAGGATTTATGGAACGCGCGACATCCATCTCCTTCTTCTCTCCTGCATACCAAAGGACAGAATTGCGCAAAGTAGTCACGCAAGCTCGCAGTGAATCTGGAAATCTTATAAATTTCCTGGGCTCTAAAACGATCTTCCGTCCCAAAATAAGCGACTCGTTTCCGTTCTTGGCATTTAAATATTTAACAGGAAGTTTGAAAGCACAATCGCATGCTTCAGACGAGTTGGCATCGCGCTTAGCGTATACAGTGCGTGATTACTCGAGTTGTCTGACAAGTATTGCAATCAACAAACATTGCAATAAATATCGACTTGGTGCGTACATGATTCGTGCCCGAGCATATTTGGGGAGGATATCCATTGCTAAAACTGTATTTGAAGTTATAGATTTTAGATGCCAACCATGTTCCCATATCAATCCTTATGAAAAGTTAAATGCGACTAACCGAGACATATACGAATTTAAATATTACTCCTGGATGATGGCCATAAATTTTTATGTCAGTTATATTTGCAGTCATCCAATATAGTCATCTATGTACAGAGTGTAAAGCCATTGAATGCATTGTCCTCTTTATTGCCTTTTCAGATATATTAATATTACCAAAAATATTTAAAAGATTTTTGTAAAACCAAATTTTATGATCTTTAGTCAACTATGTGTTGTCTGTGTGTGCGAGATACATCGTTTCTCTTTTAAAATCCATGAACAAAAAATCAAAAGCAATAAAATAGAAAAATCTAAAAATAAAAAATAAATAATTAAAATAATAAATACAATTATAGCAAAACTAAAATTATACATAACGCAGAGATGTTTAAATATTGAATTGACAAAAATCTTCAAAGGAAAGCCGATGCTATGTAAAAGTTATAATAAACATTAATTTTATTTGTAAATTTATGGTTACATTTATAGCTAGAAAAAAAAAAGATACAAAAATAAAAAGATAGAGATACCACGCTTTTTATGATAATCGACATTCTAAATAACTCAATATCGGCAGGATAGTAAAGTCCTATCCGATGAAAGTGCATGTTTATAACATAAAAATAATATCCATGGACCACTAATATTTTTTATAAGTTTTACTCCTATCGAGATGGAGAGTTTCTGTGCAACAGAATGTAATAAATTTGTGAAACGACCGAATTATTCTTGTATTGTCAATGTAATAGTTTCACCGGAGAGATACGCAAAAACGGTCGACAATGAAAAGCAAAAGAAGCAAGTAAGATTGCGCGACGCAAAGGAATGAATACAACGGAACGATAAAAAAAAGCTATATGCAAATCGATAGAATCGGCGTACATAGAGTTTCAATGGCAGATTTTACTAGGCGCTCGAATAGAATTCAAATCGGAACGTCAACATGTCGCTGATTGAGCTTTTTTAAATGGAAATTCCGTCTGGCAAAAGCTAAACCAATATTTTAGATATTGCACGAGAAAAGCGTAATACTTCCTTTTATTCACGTTTCTCGCATTTGATCGAGCCGATTGAATCAAGCGCCGTTTTAAATAGCGTAATTGGAGACTTTAGGAACAGCCGTTACTTGATACCTTTTCTCTCGTATGTCGAGAGAACACGTGATTAAACGCATTCTCTTTGTTTTTAAGTGTCTGGGAAATTGGAAAATAGATGGGATTAAATGTTAGCCACGTTCTACGGGATATGCGCTCCAATTCTCGCGGGGGATTGGTAGATTGTGGATAATCAACTTCAACCGTCCCTATTCGAGAGCTATTGAACCGCGACATATTTCAAATAGTATGTCATTATATATCTTTCGGAAAATGAGGATAATGATAATTGAATATGTTTATCATCGCCACCGACATTAAACGATAAATCAACAGAGGACTATTTACGTCACACATTTCACAACATTTAGCTAACATTTAGCATATAATTTATCGAACGCACGTTACGATTTTCATGCAATGAAGAGATAAAATAATTTTCAAGCTTCGCTTTAATCGCTTTCAGATTTCGATTTAATCATCGAAATTCTTTTTCAATATCTCGATC